GGTGGCAGCTGTGTGAGTGGAGAGAAGGGGACTTAAATGGGAAAGTAGAAACTATAGGACTTGGCCACAGATTAGATAAGGTTCCCTGCCTCTGTGAGTGGAAGAATGGTGGCTCCCTTGACAGTAAAAGGGAAGTTGGGAAGAGGAGAGGGTTTAGAGGGAAAGATAAACTCAGTTTAAACATTTTGGATTTAAGATATCTATAGAACATCCAATTCAAAATGACCAATAGGTAATTGGTGGTATAAGGCCGGAGTTTTTTGAAAAAAGTTGGAACAGGATAAATAGATCTGAGAATCATGTGCATAGAAGAGATAGTTGAATCCATAAGAGTTTATCCACATTAAACAAAGTAGTATAAAGGCAGAGGAGAAGATGACCAGCACAGAGCCTTGTGGGACACCCAAGATTAGTGAGCATAAATTGGATGAAGATCCAGCAAAAATGGAGAAGTGATTGGACAGATAGGAGGAGCATCAGGAAATGCTCAAGTGTCAAGAAATGCTAGATAGAAGAGCATGATCCAGTGTCAAAGGCTGCAGAGGATGAAGACTGAGAAAAAGCTATTAGATTTAGCAGAAATTATTGGTAACTTTGGAGAGAGCACTATCAAATGAAGAGGTCAGAAGCCAGACTGCAGAAAGTTAAGAGAAAAGGAAATGGAGGCACTGCTTGTAGATGTCCTTCTCAAGGAGTTTAGCCACTAAAGGGAGGAAAGCTATAGGATAGCAGCTGGCTGGAATAGTCAATCAAGCAAGGCTTTTCTGAGGGTAGGAGAGATGAGGGTGTGTTTATAGGCAGTAGGGAAGCAGCTAATAAACAGGGAGATACTGAAGATTTTTGGAAGTGGTGATGATTAAGGGGGCAGTGTGGAGAAGATAAATATCACTTGTGTGTCTAGAGCAGTTTGCCTTGACAGGGAAAAGGACCACCTCTTCATGTGAGATGTGTAGAGGTTGAGATAGTCCCAGAATGCTTCTGAGTTATATGAGATGGGGAGAAGAGGGAACTTTTGGCAAATAGTTTCATTTTTTTCAGTGAAATAAGAGACAAGGTTCTCAGCAAGATAGGGGAAGTGAAAAGTTTTTGAATGGCCACTGTGGTGGTGAGAAATGGCTTTGAATATAGATTAATGTTAAATGAAATTGTTTCTCACATACTTGAGCCTAAATCTCAGGGTATGGATGGTATTAGTATTAATATTTTTTCATCAACAGAAGCAATTTTTACTTTGACAATTTAAAATGATTATGCAGAAATAATTTGTAAACTAAATCATTGAGGCTTTTGAGGCAATTTAGTGGGTGTGTTAGATCAACATAAGAAATATAACCCAACATAAGTGCTTTATTTTGTATAATGGGAATTTTTTATGTCCTTTTATTAGTTTTTAATCATTTGGGGCTCAGAGCCTTTTGCAACTTTTAATTAACTTGAAAGCCTGTCTTCTGTTAATATTAAGTTCATCTGACTAAAACCTGTCCCATGGAATGTTAAAATTTACTCAAGGCCTTAATGTTTTTGATATTTTCTTTGTTTTATGAATTACCATCACCAAAGAATTTATCACCCACTGATTAATCTGCTGGTAACAATCCTCTCTGTACTTAGGCTGGTTCCTGGATAACAGAGTCAGTCTTTTGCTGGCAGTGTACCTAAAAAAAGAAGCTAGAGGAAGAATCTCCACTGTCCCTGATCTCTTGACAACATATTCTGATCTTCCTCCCAAAATCAGGCTATTTGTGAACCTTCTAAATGCAGTTAATTCTGTAACCTGACTTGGTTTACCTACACAGATTGTTTAACTAGGTTTGTTTTTGTACAAGATTATGACTGTTTAACTAAATTTGTTCAACTTTTATAACATTGAAAGAAGCATGAGATTTTGGATCTATCTTTTTCTTAACTTTTATGTCCTAAGAGGAATGACAGGATTGCAGTATGTTAAAGAATTATTTCTCTGTCATTCTGACGTAATTTTGCCTATAAGAGGTTTTGTTAGAATTCTAATGATTGTTCAGGTTTATTGTTTTCTCTGAGGCATGAACTTATCCTACAGCTTAATAATAAAACCTAGATTTTTACCTCAATAATTTTTGGGTTGTAGTAAATACATTTTAGCAACAGCTACCACATGAACCCAGAGAGGAGATAGTTCTCCCATAACATTTGTCTTTATCAGAGATTCACTGTTTTAAAATACATATAAAAGCTTAATTGATTGAGATCTGAAACTTGAAACAGAATCCCAAGTTACTATATATATTCTTCTAAATCTTATCTAACAAAATCAAAAGTTTTTTCTCATATTGGGTGAAAATTAATTTAGTCAGTTCTAAAATTATCTTATTTTCAAAAAGATTTTGAAGAGATGAATAGAAAAGGCCATATTTGAGACACAGAGCTTTTTCCTCCACAAAATCCCATTCTGATATCTCATCATGGAGCAGAAGTGACTCTAGGTTGTTTAAGGCTATGCCAGCAGCTCATAAGCTTTGATAGGTTCTACTCAACTGAAAATATTTTAGGTATATTGCCAGCAAAAGACTGACTCTGTTATCCAGGAACCAGCCTAAGTACAGAGAGGACTGTTGCCAGTAGATTGATCAGTGGGTGATAAATTCTTTGGTGATGGTAATTTATAAAACAAAGAAAAAAAAATAGGGCCTTCAGTCTCACATAAATTATTAATTCACCATTGGGGAGTGAATACCCACATGAATGAGATTTCAGTTTATGTCTTCTCATTCCACCTGAGTGTTTCTATAGATTTCATTGACCCCTAAATCTTTGAAACATTTAATTTAATTGACTTAATACTAATATTCTAGTACCCATCACCTTGGAAAAATAATTAAACAATCATATTCTCTGAGTTCTATTCTGACTTATTCCATGGGAATGGATATAGCAATATACTGTAGAAAGAAACAGGCTGAAAGACTTTTTCTTGATGATCTAATTTTATTTATTAGAAGACTAGAAGGAAGTAAGCAATGCCAGATACTTCATTCAGTCTTTGCTTCTATAAATGTTGCTCAGACTGACTGGCAACAAAATTTTAATATGACTAATGATTGAAGTCAGTTGGCAGAGCTGCATGGGAAAATTTGCTTGGTGCCTCTTCAACCATACCTACAAGCAGTATCTGGGGAGTTTTAGGGTGTGTGTGTGTGTGTGTTTTTGCTAGATTCTCATCTGCACTGAGAGACAGACTTGGATACAGAGTGGGCCTTGCAGTCAGGAAGACCTTAGTTCAAGTCCTGCCTGTGATACTTAAAGGTGCCTGATGCTGAGCAAGTCACAAGACTTTTCCACATTCTCTCAGAAATACTCATACATAAACTGTAATTAAAAAAAAATTTGGTAGATTTTCCTTATGTGGGAGTTCCTTATGCCAGTGAAATCACAGGTGTAGTCCCTGTCTCATAAGAGTGTGTAGATCTTTTCAAAAACTTTTCTGGGATTTGAAACAGATTGTTCAAGTAACATTTACAGTAAATCTTGGTAAAATATTTTAAATCTTTTAAAAATATTTTTAATATAGTAATGATAAGCAATAGAAAGGGAAGAAAATAAAAGGAAGCATGTTAAGATATTAAGGTATTATAATTTCAAATAAAAACAGACATAGCTGGATAAAAGTAATACTTGTTTATTATACTTATGCCACTGAATGACCACTTTGACCACTAATTTTTTCCCTGTTCTTTGCTGTGGTGTTTTTCAGGTCTACCTCTTTTCCTCTTACCCCAATAATGATGGAATCATCAGTGTTTGCTTTACTTCATCAAGTCAGAATTTTTTTTTTAAGGCAGTTGGGGTTAAGTGACTTGCCCAGGGTCACACAGCTAGTAAGTGTCAAGTGGTTAGTCTGAGGCTGGATTTGAACTCAGGTTCTCCTGACTTCAGGGCTGGTGCTCTGTCCACTGCGCCACCTAGCTGCCCCAAGTCAAAATATTATTGAAAAAAATGTAAGGTCATGTACTTATTCAGTAAATATTAAACTCATGCTGCAGAATATCATACTAAATACTTGGTGAAGATAGAAAGTTTAGATAAGACATAGGACTTGTTCTCATGGAGCTCACAGGAAATAATACACAGATAATTATGATCTGTAATTATATAGATTCTTGATATCTATATATCTATATATACGATATCTATAATCTATAATTATATAGTTCTTGATACATGCATTAAAAAATGATGAAACTATACTAGGTAAGGTCTGAGGGAGACACTTATTAGGAAAGATCAGAGGAGAAGGATGGGTAGAAATTCAGAGAAAGGGGAGGAGGAAGGACTTTCCAAGGTATAGCAAATAACATAAGCAAAAGCATGGAACCAGAGTATGTGTTTTGGGGACAAAAAGTAATGCAATTTTAGCTGGAATTTTAGAATGCTTAGAGGGCTGTAATATAGAGTAAGGCTGAAAACATAAGCTGGTGTCAGAGATCGTGGAAGGCCTTGTTCTAGACAAAGACTAGGGTGAGCTACTAAAGATTTTTGAGCAGAGGAATTCCATGACCAGATCAATGCATTAAAAAAATGCCTCTTGTTCACTTCCTGTTCCAGAGTTCCCTAATACATATTTAAAATGGAGGAACATTGAAGATGCATAGCATGCAAACAGAAAATATTTGAATTTACATTATGGTCAAAAATAGAAGTTTGACTATTGCTCAGCTGCACCATTCTCTGAAGTTACTAGTTTGTGATAAAAACAATTTTTATATTGACAAGAACAAAAAGATCCTGGAACTGTCCTCTCATTCATTCCCTGCTCTATATCTATATTTATAAGAAATGATAATTTAATGATAATGATGATTAAATGATAATTTAATTCAGCAAACGTTTATTGAATGCCTGCTGTGTTCAAGATACATAACTGTGTTTTTCACAACTTATTCTCTCCAGAAGTTGGGATTTAACATGAACTGTGATGATTATATGACAGATGGTTGATAAACATTTTTTGTTTGTTTTTCTAGATACTTCCATAAAGGGCCTAGAAGAAACTTCCTCATTGAAAGCCTGAAAAACCAGCATATGTAACACCTGGACTTGTGGATATAGTCTGACAAAATGGCAGAAAATAATTCTAAAAATGTAGATGTGAGACCCAAAACCAGTCGGAGTAGAAGTGCAGACAGAAAAGATGGTTATGTGTGGAGTGGGAAAAAGCTCTCTTGGTCCAAAAAGAATGAGCACTCTTCTGATACTGATGCACCAGGTGCCGCAGAGAAAGCTGACATCCCTTTAGGGAGCCCAGAGAGGAAGTACAGCTGTTCATCCATTGAGTTGGATTTAGATCGCTCATGTGGTCACAGATTTTTGGGCCGGTCTCTTAAACAGAAACTGCAAGATGCTATGGGACAGTGCTTTCCCATAAAAAATTGTAGCAGTCGACACTCTCCAGTGCTCCCATCAAAAAGAAAAATTCTTATCAGTGAACTCATGTTAGATAAGTGTCCTTTCCCACCTCAGTCAGAGCTGGCCTTTCGTTGGCATTTAATTAAACAACACACTGCCCCTATAACTCCAAAATCAGATAACCGCAGAAGCACAGACTTATCTGAAAGTGATATGAGGGATGTCCAACTGAAGGAAAGAGGTAACAGGGAAGAAAGTGTAAACTCTTTTTCACATACTCAGGTTCAGCCATGTGACACAACTACTGATAACCATTCACACCAGTGTGATTCAAAGACTGATTCTGTAATGAACCTGGCATCCAATACCAGTATAGAAGATAGCGATATGGATTCAGATGATGAAATTTTAACACTTTGCACAAGTTCTAGAAAAAGAAACAAACCAAAATGGGAAACTGATGACGAAATGCTGCAGTTGGAAACACCTCCTAAGTACCACACTCAGATAGATTATGTTCATTGTCTTGTTCCAGATCTCCTTCAGATCAATAACAATCCATGTTATTGGGGAGTAATGGACAAATATGCAGCTGAGGCATTACTGGAAGGAAAACCAGAGGGAACCTTTTTACTTCGTGACTCAGCGCAGGAAGACTATTTATTCTCTGTTAGTTTTAGACGCTATAGTCGTTCTCTTCATGCTAGGATTGAACAATGGAATCACAACTTTAGCTTTGATGCTCATGATCCTTGTGTCTTCCATTCTCCTGATATTACTGGACTCTTAGAACATTATAAAGACCCAAGCTCTTGTATGTTCTTTGAACCACTTTTATCCACTCCTTTAAATCGGACTTTCCCCTTTTCCCTTCAGCATATATGCAGAACAGTTATTTGTAACTGTACAACCTATGATGGCATTGATACCCTCCCAGTTCCTTCATCTATGAAATTATATCTGAAGGAATATCACTATAAATCAAAAGTTAGAGTACTCAGGATTGATGTACCAGAACAATAATGCTAGGGAGGATTAGTGGCATTTGACTGACTGATCACATAAAAGTTCTTTCATGGCTTTTTCAAGTTTTTTTTTTCTTTTGCCATTTTGAAATTTTCTACAAGGTTAAAATCCAAATTAACTTGTACCCTAACCTTTATTTCCAGATACTTTTTTGGGAGGGCTGTGATACACACTATTATTTTAATGTTATTCAGTAAGGCTTTATGGACTTAAGGAAATAGGTCTTCTGAAGTTCCTTGTAGCAGTTATTCTTTAGACTTTAAATTTTATTCATTTAAAAATTTTTAATTGGCATATCTACAGACATGTTTAAATCATCCTATAAATGACAAACTAAAAATTGAGTATTTTCTATTTTATACACTTATTTAATACTAATGCAGTACCCACCATATAAAGTATAATTCTTTGTTAATCTAGTTCTGACATTACTATTCCTCTACGTAAAATAGTTTTTCTAGCCTCTTTTTAATTAGTGCTTATCCTTTCTTCCAGTAAGATGGACCACCCTGTTAATATTTAGACATGTTTCTAACATAGCAGATCTTCATAATTTATTAATAATGGTGTTAAAGATGACAGCAAACTTACCTGTAGATTAAATGATACATCTGATGGCATAAGAAGCTTACACAGCAACTGTCTGCATAGTTTCCAGTCTATTCTTTACAATGGATTCCATCATCAATTTCCTGTCTTTCTCACCCTGCCATAACTTTCTAGACAGAAGCCTTTTATTTAAGAATAAAACTTATACTGTATTTTCATTTTGGAGATTAGTTTGAAAGAATTGAGTATCGAAGGTTTAACAAACTGAGAATGAGCTTTATTCTGCCAGTGAGGATGAAGCAAAAAAAATTATATTTTAGAGGTATTTTTTACTATTTTAGATATAATAGTACCTTTTAGTGTACTTGAAGAGGTCATTTTCTAAGTGTTCTGAAAGAATTAAACAATAGAGATCATTACTTTCTCACTGGAAAGCCTAATAAATATCTGTAGTCATATAGTACTGTAGTAATTTTAAAATGAGTCCTCTGACTTCAAGCAGGTAATTCTTTTTTATTAATTCTATAACATTTAAGGTTTGGGACCACATTCATTTAGGAATTGTTGTTCCTATACAGCCTCATTAGAGAATACCCTGGACCTATTATTTTGTGCTAGATTCTACCCACATAACTGCCACAGATTTTCACTGGGGACCAAATAAGGCATCAAATTCATTTTCCATTATTTTAGATTGGATTCAAGTCCAAGTTCTAAGAATTGGATGGCAGGGTAATAATGATCAGGGTGCTTTGTTGTCTGGTATTTTAAAAGAAAAAAATTGCTTTACACGTTCCAAATATAATTGTTCCTGCCTTCAAAATTGACTTAAATCTTTAATGTGGCCTTGGGTGGGGAGAAAGAATGAAAAAACAAAAATGTTGACAACTATAGTCACTAATTTTAACCCAACCTAAGGCATAGTAAACCAGAATTAGCTATGATGTTTGATGTTGGTAATATTTTGAATCTGTTATTCCTAGATGAGGAAGCAGTTTATAAATATCATTTGATTCAGGGTTGAGGAGAAATATCCTATCAAACAATATTCCATTTAAAGTACTAATTGAGAAATTATGGTTTTTTTGTTGGGTTTTTTTTTTTTTTTTGCAAGGCTGTTGGAGTTAACTGACTTGCCTGGAGTCACACAGCTAGTGAGTGTGTCTGAGGCCAGATTTGAACTCAGGTTCTCCTGACTCCAGGGTGGGTACTCTTTCCACTGTGCCACCTAGCTGCCCCAATCTTTTTTTTTTCTTTTGGCTAGGCGATGGGATTAAGTGACTTGCCCAGGGTCACACAGCTACTGAGTGTCAAGTGTCTGAGGCTGCATTTGAACCCAGGTCCTCCTGACTCCAGGGCTGTGCTCTATCTACTGCACCACCTAGCTGCCCCAAGAAATTATGTTTTTATTCAGGCTTCAATGTGCACACATGTAATTCCTTATTTGTCTTCTAGTGAATTGGCATTTTGCATTTATTGGCTAATTCATGCAGCCAGTCTGTTTCCTTATTTGTGGTTTGTTTTTTGGGTTTTTTTTTTTAAGTTTATTGACTAACTCCTTCTCTGGGGTCAAAGAAATTCACTTCAGAAATATCCAGATTGGAACAAATGTTGATCTATAATCAATGTGTCATTTATTTTTAGGAGTAACATTTCTATATTACGCTTTTGCTAACACTAATACTGTATCTTTGAATGATAGCTTCAAAATAAAAATGTTAAAGCAATTACCACAAAATCAGAAACCTTTTAAGATACCTTTCAACTAGTGATCTTCAGTTTGGCAAGGATTCCTGCACAAAGATTTTACCTTGAAATAAAGTGTTGCTTTCAAATTAACAGATCTTAACAGTGATAAGGCCAAGAATCAATTTAAATAAAGATCTATAAATTTACTGTCAAGAGAGCCCCTTCTAAATACATATTGCTTTGGGTAAGGGTACGAAGATCTCGTACATTTTCTTAACTGTATTATGAATCTTTTGTCAATGTACAAGAAACTTACCCTGCTTACTAACATACTCCTAAATATTCACTTTGGAAAAGGGGAAGGGGGGAAGAAAAGCAAATGGCTGTTCATTTTTATTACAAGGGGAAGCCTCCTTCCCATCCCCAATTTAACTTATCAGAATTTGATAATGAGAATTTCTGTTTCTGTGAAACAATCATTATTTTAAGTATTTTTTGTTTAAAAACATTTAATCAGTACAGATTAACCTAATTGAAGACTTGCTAAGGGGGGGAAAAAGCATGGATAGTTTTGTAAGGAAATACAGAATCTAATTGTGTCAAGTCTTTTGTAATGGGTAAAAATTAGTGTTTATAAAGAAGTCATCTTCTAAGTAGCTTCATAATATTGTTTAAACTATGTTGTGATATATTTTCTGTGATTTTCCTGTTCTTTCAACATCTTTGTGGTATTAACAAATGTACAACCATAAATTTACAGTCACATTAGTAGCCAAGAAGTAGTTACCTGCAACAAAAAAGAACAGGAAATAGACTGATCCATTCTGACACATTTTGCGTTTTCCCCCTTTATGTACTTAAGTAAGAAGGAATTTAGGAAGTAGTAATAAAAAGTCTTGATGTTGGTGTGGTAGTGATAGGGACAAGGTTGAGGGAGGTATTGGTAGATTCAAAAAATGGGACATCGAAGAGAGAATCCTTTGACTTGGGTGGATGTATATTTAACAGTGTTTAGGCTTCACCTTCAGAATATAAAATCAAAGGAAGTTTATAGATGTATCATTACATGAGATTAGTGTTTTAGGAGAAAAGATGCAGGAAGTTAAATATAATTTGACTAAAATGTAACCTTGTAAGCATGAGGCAGCTATAGCAGACCATTAAAAGATACTCTTGAGAAAGCATTTAGCATGGTGGAACTGGGTAAAGCTTATTTGGCAAAGGGATGAAGCTAAAAGAAACAAGATAAAATATTTAAATTAAAAATTTAGGCTTTACCTTAGGGAAATCTTGACAGTGAGAGGGAGTTACTTAATCACTAATAGCTCAGCTGGACAAGACACTTAACTCTGGTTTAGGAAGAATCTTTGCCGGAAATCAAACTTGGCTTTTTATCAGTTTTTCAGGACATCCTGAAAAAAAAAATTATGCTTCTTTATCATACGCTTTTGAAAAAAGCTGCTTTAGATTTCTAGCTTCTTTGACAAATTATATGAAACAATCATACATGGTCTTCCTCTAACCACAATGTGCACTTAAATAATTCAAAAAGAGAGTGCTTTAATTTAAAGAGAAACCTAATAGGTAGAAGGTTGAAGGAAGCTTTTAGTCAGCTTTGGGGCTAGAATTATTGATTTGATGATCAATCCTGTGTTCTTTCCTGAATTTGAACTAATGGCCAACGAGTCCCAACGAGTGGCTTTCATTTAAAATTTGAACCCTTGCAAGTAATGTTTTAGTAAGTAGTTAGAAATCTTTTTTGTATCTTTTTAAAATAGAACAGATGTGGAATACAGGACTTAATTTTTTGTCATAGAAATTCCTCTTACATTTTTGTCCCTACAAGTAAGATATATATATATATATTATTCATGAGCCAAAACCATTAAGAGGATAAATCAAATTATCAGCTTCCTGTCTCTCTTTAGTTTAAATCACTTTATAGATCCTATAATAGACAACTTCCTTCCTATGGGGAAAATTATGACCTATCTTCTTTCAAAACACACTTCCTTTCCATTTTAAAATATATTCTCATGTTTTTCTTGTCACTCTTAGTTGTAACCAAAATCCAATAAGAATCTTTTATATTTATATCATAGTGTAGATTTCATTGAAAAATATTCTTTAATTTAGGGGAAAAATTTAAATGACAAATTTCACAAAAGGGAAATTGATATTAACTTTTAAAAAGCTCATATAAGAATGAGCTATTCAAAGTCAAGATTTGAATCTATTGTTTCTTTTTTCACTTGGAAAAAAAATCCTTCTTAATTTCTCACTCTTACCATATTCAAATCAAAATCATCATCTTATTCCTAAATATAGCTGAAAGCACAAGAACATATTTTTTAACTGGGCACACTGGATTATTGAAGAACAAGTACTGTATGATGTCTCCAGTATTCATTGTAAGTGGGGCTAAATTTTTTTGTATCCATGGTTGACTATTGTCATAACCATGAATAAGTTGAAATTTCAACTTAGATTTTTAATGCAGATATTGGGCAACCAATAGAAATCAGTAAAAAAATTTAAAAAAAAACCACACTACTTAACTGTTAAGAATCTGTGCCAATTAGCACAAAAGGGGAGTTGAGAAAAATAAATCCTAATCCCCACCCCATCTTAATTTTATTATATGACCTTGGTAGGCTGAGATCTCTTTACCTCCATTTCCTAAGCTAGAATGTTAGTCAATACTTGCCACCTGGCTTCCTTAATTCTTTGGTGACATTTTGAACTTCTTAGAAGATAAATACTGTGCAACTATAAGTTGTAATATGTGTAAGTGGTAATATGATCATAGATGGTCAAAGTATTCCCTGTGTGTAGAGCAAATGGAGAATTAACCTCCATTGCTTCTAGGCAAGGTTTATCTTAATTTGACCATACAGATTAGGACACATTTTAATTTGGCCCTGAGGATCGCATTATCCCTACAATAGCAGCTGGTTATACTTAAATTCTGTATTTAGAAGAACAGTAGCAATTTGGCACCCACGTGAGATTTTACAAAGATGATGCCCTAAACCATCTGATGTTTTAAAATTAGTTAGAGGGAATAAAAACGTTAAGTTTACTATAGTTGAATGAAACCAGAGCCTTTAGACTTGAGCCACAGTGTAAAAATCAATTTGTGTTTATTTAAAATCTATGTTGCCTTTTCTAGGATTGGATATGAATTGAGTGATATATGCTTGTTGAAGAATATTTGAATAGTTACTTCTTTTAACTATTGTGTAGTCTTGCTGGCTGTAGACTATTTCTGTTCCCTGTCTTCTACCAAAAGAAATATACTGTATTTCCATTTTGTCTCCTGTTCTTGAAGTTGAATGAATGTTAGATTGTTTTAATGTTTCCTCATAGATGGAAGAGTTAAGAGAAATTTAGGTGTTTTAATTTCTTAATTAAAATTTGGTAAATTTAACCTTTGTGTCAGAAAAACTGTCACTAATCAATCAGTAATCATTAAGCTCCTGTTGTGTGCCTGGCATTGTACTGAGGCAAAAGACAGTCCTTTCCCTTG